GTGTCCATGACTATTAGACATATGATTTTATTACTTTTAGTTGTCGCTTTCAAAGGTTCGGTGAGATTGCTCAAATTCTACACATTTGCAGCCCAGGAAAAATGAAAAAGATGGTGTTGCTCAAACAAAGAAGTGTGTCTGCCCCCCATCACAAGTGCTCAAGTGGAAACATCTTAAGGCCCATAGTCTCATTCTCCAGAAAATTTTGCTCCATTCATGCACCCCAAGCTTGTCACAGAAGAACTTAGGCTGCAAAACCAGTAGGTATTGCTGGAAATCTTAGCTTTGGTTTGTCAAAGTCTGTTCTTCATGTTGGCAGGCAAACATTTTTATCCAAGGTGTTTGACTCTCAGGAATGTTCTTTTTTAGACAGAGCTAGCTCTCTATTAAGTTACTTGTTGCACAGTTGGGCACAAGGGTGGTTAATAGAGGTAGTGTTCATATTAAAAAAACCAAAAACCTCAGGCTATATGATGCAATTCTAGTCACTTTAAATGGAACATTGTAAGATACCCTGAAATAGAAATATTTTGTGCCTTTTGAGCAACTGGACAGTAAATTGACAAGCAGTGACTTTTGGCTGTCACTCATGACTTGATTTAGGATCAATCTCTTAGTATAGCAAAGGTAAAACTTACTCCTGAATGTGGAAGTGACTCCTGTTCCTGGGGTGGATTCCAGTGTTTTTTATAATGCCACTTAAATTTTGAATGCCCATTGTGAGAAAGGTGTGAGTTAGGACAGTGACATTTGCAGTGGAAATGAGCACATGAGATGAATCACCCAGTAAATTCAAAATTGTTAGTAAGTCAGTGAAGGAAATCTGTCAGAAATTGTGCCAATGAAAACAAATGTGATTTCACTTTTATGCCATTGGAGCATGCATTGGTGTTATGCAAAAGTATTCTAGAGGCAAGCAGTTCTGTTTTTTGGGTGCTTCTCACTTAAGATCCGCTGAAGCATTTTAATGCGTGATGACTGAGACACTGGGGCTGTGACCCCAGTGCTTGGTAATGGGATCTAGAGCCTTTCACCTATAGGTCATGAGTTCAGGTCTGCCTCAAGTTGAGGATGGCTAAAACTTGTTACCACCTGACAGCTGTTCATTGCTCTGGGGGGAGGGAGACACAGTAGTCCTTATGTAGTTCTTAGCAACCCAGCACCCATACTGGCAATTACTGTCCTCTTCAGGCCCTTCAGAAGGACCACGAATTTAGTACCTTGACTGGCTTCTGTAGGGAAGTTCAGAAGGAGGCAGCAGCATGTCCCACGGTGCAGGATGCTGACTTGCTCAAGGCAGATATCACATGTTCTGTTGAAGTGGAGAAGCCTGTATAGATAGGAGCAGGGAGAAGGGGAAGATACTTTCCTCTTTAGAAAAAAACAGGTTTTTAACAGTAACTAATACTCAGTAAAAAGATGCTGTCAGTAAAACACTGGCCTGCAAACACATTCTTGGGAATCAGAAACTCATATATTAAGTAAGAAATGGTGCCAGATCACTGATATTATTACTTTGTAGTGATTTCGGTTTTTCCTTTTTTTTAAAAAAAACTGTGTTGGCTAATTTGTACAGATGGTGTAGTATCTCATTTCTGTATTCATTCACCCAGAATCTGATGACACTGCTGGAAGGACAGTGTACAAACTGCTGCATTGTGTTACCACTGGCCATGAGACTATGTACCAATCTGTTATTTAAATCAGCATTTTGGCTTGTGGGAATTTGTGCTACCAACTCAGCTGTCTAGGCAGTAAATCATAAGGAATCATGTAATAAAGGACTTGAATGCCATCAAGTGGCTTTTGATACATCAGAAAAAGAGAATGTTAAGTGGATTTTGTCACAGGAATATTAAAGTGAAATAGTTCTGTCTGTCTTTGATATGGGATAAAATGGGAAGTGGTATTTAACAAAATGGTACTGTATGCTATACATACAGTTTAAGTCAGTAGCATTTTGAGTGTAAAATGTTGTCACCAAACAGAGTCCATAAAGGAAAACCACAAAACACCAACATTTTGATCATTGAGCATGTTTTCCATTACATCATTTGTCCTATAGCATGGATATTCTATGATGACTATAATGCGTGGTGGTTTGGTTTGGTTTGGTTTTTTCTTACAAATGTAAGGAATGACTTTCTGCAGCGTGTGCAAGTGTTAAGTATTGCATATCTTCAGCACAGCGAGGCAGAGGCATCAGGTACATTTGAGTGACATTTTTAGTGGTTTCTCTCTTAGGTTTTTGCTCTGGATAGTCTGAAACAAACAAACCCACAAGATTTCTTGATTTAAAAAAAATGCATATTCAGCTGATTGTGCTCATTGCAGAGGTTTAAGATCTCTGGATCTGGCAACCTCCAGTGATCATTGCAAACTTTAAGTTAAAATAAAATAAAACGTAACTGGTAGAAACTTTTATTCTTTTCCCTTCCCTTTTGCTTTTTATTACTTCTGATGTATTGAAAGGCCACTGGTGTATCCACTTGCTTTTGGTCTGTCCATATGTTTTCACATAATCTGACTTTGGCAGTCAACATTTTCCTCTGTAATTCACATTTGTAACTTCTTTGTACCTGAGTGTTACATTGTATAAAGTAGCTACACTTGCCAGTGGAGTTATCCTTACTCTGGTTTGCCTGAAGAAAAGTACGTAACAGACCCATCGAGGAAATAATTAAATGATGTAATGCCTTAAGAAGAATGCAGAGCAGATCTGCTGCAGGGTTCTGGAACGTGCACCCGCCTCCTTGGGTGGTTTTGCTGTTCCTGTTTGGAATGTTGAAAGAGGAAAAAAAAACAGCTTCTGTTCTGATGACTGACTTGTGTGATGCAGTTTTGATTAGCTAAATATGCCTTGTTCAGTGAAGTTAATGTGGTTTGACAGGACCTTGATTAGGAAGCAATCATTTCTGTTGATAGTAAACAGTTGGTCACTTTCAGCAGAGAGAGGAATGCTGCCCTTTGTCTTGCATAAAGTATGATTTGTTGGTTCAAGTCCTGGTTAAAGTCAAAAGGAAAGTGTGGGTAAAATGGGAGAGAATATAGTACCAGCAGTAGAAGTTTATGGTAGACTCCACAGTCCTCATAAAGTTGGGGCTTTATTGTCTTGGCTGGCAGTGAGACACAAAAGAGGGAGAGACATTTTATCTCTGGAAGGAGTTGCACTGTAAAGGACTGCAAAAGAAAGCTCTGGTTCCAAGACATACAGATTAGGATAACTCTGCTCCCTTACCCCTACCTCATATTCATGTAAGATGAAGCAAATTTGATAGTGTATCGTAGACTGTTGGTTGGTGGGGAAAGATGGCAATAAGCATGAACATGAGCCTGATAAGTAAAAGTAGTTTTAGTATTTATTTCTTGATAAAAAAATAAAAATGTGTTTTTGTTGCCATGGATATGCAGTCCAATGATTTTATGTTCTCTCACTGTAGTTAGAGGAATGTTAAGAAGTTATAAAGGGGCTCTAGGTAAGCAAGTTGTACTTTGATTTTTATTTTTTTCTTACTGTGAGCTGGTCACTGTTACTTGGTGTGATGGAGGTAATGCCATGTGTGACAGGCTGAAAAAATGGAGAGTGTTGTGGAAACACTTTTTCAAAGAATTCTTGAACTGGAAGTTAAGTAACGCTTTGTGCCAGAGTGACTATATGGTTTAATTGTTGAGGGTCTCATTCTGACAACTTTATCCGTGCAGGGGCCCAGCTTCTTGCCTGGTGGCCCTTTTAGCCCCAGGGAGGTTCCGGGTGGATTGAGGGCCCAGATGACTGAAAAAGTATGTCCCTGTTAAGGCTTGAGAATGTCATCTCCCACACTGCCGACTGGTTACAGATCAGTCTTCTGTTAACGGCCTACAAAGAGATAGATGTACTCGCCCAATTTCTGTTCACACCGTTGCAGAACTAAACTTTGGCAGTAATTCAAATCACCAGTGCCAAGCTGACTGGAACTGAAAAAAATGTAACAAATTAGACCAGGTCTGTAGCTTGGACTTAACAGAGCAATAAAAGTAATAAATTGCAAGGGATGGAAACAATGTGTTGGTGGTATTCTTGTCCTCCTCATCTGGATGTGGTCTTGATTCAGCTAATGGGCTGAATTAATTGATCCCGCCTCCCACATGCGTTTGCTAGAGAGACTACAGGGGAGCTTATATGAAGCATATATAAGCTCTAGCTGAATGCTTTCTTGTAAGAGGGAAGATAATTTTCCGTTCTTACGTAATACTTTCTGGCAAGGCAAATTGAATATGGCTCTCTCTAGAGCCTGTCGACTTTGCTGTCTCCTTCTGCCTTTTCCCCGTCCCTCCCATGTTTTAATGTGGAGCATGCTATTCGGCTCATGTAGATGTAAAACCAGATGTTGCCTATGAATGATCTCCTGCATCGCAGCATGTTGTGCAGGTGCCGGACCACTGAGGTAAATTTGCTGTAGACAGGCCTTTCTGCTACACTCAAGACTATGAACTTGGTATTTTTTCTATTTAAGGCTGAAATAAGTCCTCTTGCTCACTTACTCTTTCTCTCCTCCCTTTAACTGAAGAGAAACATTCTGCTTTTGCCTTTGCCAGATTATTTAGGAGAAGAGTGTAAATTAAAGCCATTTATCTTGAAATGTGCTATTGGAGCAGACTGTTTATACAAGTGTAAGAAATTGTAACACAGTATTTGGTCTGGTCTGCAAGGAAAAGGTTTTTCTTTTTTCTTTTTTAATTTTTACATATGGCATATTGGTTACAATGTAGAAAAAACGGTTTGAGGCTCCAATTTATGCATGAGTGCTTAGTGGAGGCAATGGTATTTTAATGAGGAATATGGTTTTTGTTGCTTTGTTACTAAAGAAAATTGTTATTAGTTTTAAAGTTATAGTGTGATAAGTTTGGGACAGAGTAGTCCATGCACATGGTCAAGGTTTTCCAACTGGAGAGTGCTCATCAAGTGAATGCAGAATATGCAGTTACTGGCTAATACAAAGCTGTTGATATTTATTCATCAGTTGGTGGACGAGTAAGTCGGGAGTTAAATTATACACGGCAGAAGATTGGAGAAGAGGCCATGTTTAACCCCCAGCTCATGATCCAGACTCCACAGGAAGATGGTGCTAATGTACTGACAGCAGAAGCACTCCGACAGCACCTTGACTCTGCCCTTCAGGCCAGCAGAGTACATGTCTACATGTACAACAGGTAAGGGGAAAAGCAAAAGTTTTTTTGATTATCTGTAACAGTTAAAAGTGAGCACATGCTTCTCTTCGTGTATTTTTAAATGCTTAGCACGTCAGAGCCTTTCCCTTAGGACTGTGTTTTGATTTGAATGTCATTGGTTTCTGATGCTTGACATTGGGGTATAATAGCAGTGACAAGTTGGCTTTTAGCAAATAAGATGGGGTAAGTGGTGTTGGAAGAGATTCTGAGGGTGTACCCCTATGAGCAGTGCTACAGTGCCCAGCATTTCTCTTGGTAAAGGGGTGATGTCTGTGCTCTTAAACATAGGAGCTTATGGATGGGATTCCTTGAAAATTGAAAATCCTTCCTTGTAAGAGAGTTGAATTCACTTGCAGATGCCAGCATGAGGTACATAATGACTGTGAATAGATGCATAGGTTCCTATCCTGCCAATAGTTTGGATATAAAGGAAAATGCAGACTTGTGAGAAGTGGCAATGGGTGGAATAATAGCTGTTTAATAATACAGACATAATAGAATTGGCCTTCAAAGTGTCTGTGTGCATATACTGATGGTTGGAAGCTGTGTGTTGTCCAATAAAAAAATAAATGTGTATCTTAAGAAAGGACCAGCTTTGGGCTAATGAGATGTCTTTCTGATAAGTGGTTCCTACTTACATGATGATGTGTCTAGGGGCCCTGCCTGTGAAGCATGAAGCCCCCTGTCTTTCAGCACAGCTTTTCAGCATGTCCTACTGATGCTTCAGTGAAATAATGCTGAGGCTCCACTTATCTTGTATCCAGCTCCTGTCTTGTCTAAGGCGTTAGAAGTCATGGCAGTGAAAGTCGTAGTACAGGTGAAAAAGGAAGGCAGAAATCCTAACTGTTTCTTTTCTTCTGCATGCGTGGGTCAGCTGGGAGTATTCTGGTCCTCTGAGCTGGAGGACTACTCTGGTCCTCTCTCACTTGTGTCACTGAGTGATGTCTCAAGAGGTCCAGTTCATACAGAGGTGGATTTCTGTCCCTTTAACATGTGTTGACTAGCCTTGAAAAGCAGCTCCATTATTTTCAATGAGTTTTGCAGAGAATATTAGATAACTGAAACAAATGTTTAGTCTGTAACTAGAAAAAGAAAGGCCTTTGCTTTTTTGTGAGGTGTAGTATAACTGTGCTGAGTAATATTTGCCTTTCTCAGTGATTTGCTGTTTGAGAGCAATATGCCAGTATGTTTATGTGAGTTGTAATTTTAAATGCCAGTTATATTTTTAAAAGAACTTTTGAGTAATTGTGCGAGAAGAAAAATTTGGTCTATGTATTTCTTACAGACAGTGGAAATTGGAACATTTATGTTATAAATCAGGAGAGCTCATCACAGAAGCAGGTTACATGGATCAGGTATGTGCAGCAGGCATTTAGTTAAGATTTGTGTATTCTCATGATTCAACTTGTGCTGCTTTGATTATATTGTATTATATCTGTGTTTTTCTACTTTCTGATTTTGACAGATCATAGAGTATCTTTATCCTTGCTTAATTATCACTCCTTTGGACTGCTTCTGGGAGGGAGCAAAGCTACAGTCAGGAACTGCCTATCTATTGTAAGCATTTTTTTTTTTTTTATAACTTTCTGCTCTGACTGATTTTAACTGTATAGCAGTGTATGATTTTTTTAGTTGCACTCCCATTGTTTATTCAGATTCTGCTTTAACAGAAAAATAAAAGATAAAGTGCAGCGTCTCTACAGAAAATATGCATGGAGATTTTTTTTATTGAATAAAGATTTTCCTCTTTCTAAGAGATGATGTGCAGGCATTGATTTAAATCTTGTGTTATTTTTCTAATTCTGGTAGCATGCAAAATAAAATGTAAATTCTGAATTCAAGCTTTAAGAATTTTATGCCTGCCTCCCTCCCCTTTCTTTTTCCCTGAAAGAAACTTGTTTCTGATGGGTTTTTTTGCTTGGTTTTGGTTTGTTGTTTTCCCCCCCCCATACAAAATACAAAAGCATTGATTGGCTGGGAATTTTATTCCTAAGAAAATGTCTTGGGTTAAATCTCAAGTCTTCCTGAGGAATAAAGAGCAAATCCTTTGCTTATGAGATCATTAAAGAAACCATATAGTATCTTTTATGGGTGGTTTCTCACAGCTTACGAGTGTGATATTATATGCCCTGAATCTGTTAAAGAGTTAATTGTTAATCTGTGCAGGCATTTTCTGTTATGAATGCAAGAGTTTGCATTTGAGCTATTGTTTCTGTCCTGGTTTGCATGTCTCTGTAAAAGCAATTTGCAATGGCCATCTCCTAACCTTTAGTGTACAGTTTTAGATGGGGAAATAAGGGGGTTTGTGTTTTCTGGTTGGGAGATTTGGAATAATGACTTAAGCCTGGTTAAGCAGATACAGTGTGGTTTGAGCCACAGAATAAGGCAGCCAAAAGCCTTTCTAGTCTGTCAACATCACAGATTCAGAAGTGGGCGGTGGGAGACATGACAGTGATAGTGGTGACAGCCATGGTAGTAGGAAAGCTTGATGGTTGATAGCTGCCAGGGCATTTGAAGGAGCAGCGTATTGTTATAGATAAACAAAGATCAGCTATATTGATTGATTACATTTGCGAGATGATTATTAGACTAGCCATAAGTAATCTGATACTATGAGAAAGGCTTTCTTTCCTAAGCCTGCTCTCTTCTTTCCCCCTCCCCTCCTCCCCTAATTCTTTGAAGCAGCAGTTGGCTGCTTTTTTGTTATTTAGGTGCTTGATTATTTGTTTTGCTTTGCTTGTAAATGGAAGTATTTTTAACCTGTGAATATTCTCATTTATACAAAACTTTATAAGAACTGAGTATTTTTGTTCCAATTACAAGTGGACTGCAAGAAAAGTTCATAAATAAATTAATTAAAACATGCTTTACATTTTATGAAAAAACTTTACCAGAAAAGGTTTAAACTTGTAACAGAAAATAACTCAACTATTCCTGCAAATATGAATTTTAAAAATATGTTTGCTTCAATGCTTCTTTGGTCTTTTTTCTGCGTGTCATCTTCTGGTTTCTCTTGCAGAGGGAAGCCTCCTTTACAGTGGATCAACTTTGACCCCTTAGAATTCTTGGAAGAGTTAAAGAAAATAAACTACCAAGTGGAGAGCTGGGAAGAAATGCTGAATAAAGCAGAGGTTGGTCATGGTTATATGGATCGACCCTGCCTGAATCCTGCTGATCCTGATTGCCCAATCACAGCTCCCAATAAAAATTCCACCAGAGTAAGTTTGCTTGTCCTTGTGCATATCTTTTCAAGGGAGGCTGGGGGGAGGGAGGAGCTGGAGGAGGAGAATATATCAGAGAAGAGAGAAGAAGGTGGCATTTTCTTCCAAGGAATACATAGTTTTTATTCTTGAGTGATGTCGTTTTTCCTGTTCTTGTTATATATTGTTAGCCCACAGTCATGAACTTTCCCTCATTCTGTGATGTAATGCTTAATCCTGTGTATTTAGAGTGCAGTTGTCAGCTACTGGCAATATGAAGATGTGGCATTTCATCAAACATGATACCTCAGACAGACGTAGCCACTGCTGAAATACAGCTGCCACTGCACCGTGCAGCAAAACCTTCCTTCAAGTAGCACCAGTCTTGTTGATTTTTGTGAAGAACTTGAAGTCACAGGCCCCAGTTTTATATAACTCTTTATCAATCACATCAGGCTTGGGAGACATTGCCATCTGATCAACAAGTATCTGACTGATTTATTCAGCTTGATTTGGTGAACACATTTCTCTTTGTAGAACTCCTAGATTGTCTTTAGAGTCACACAGAATCACAGAATCGCTCGGTTGGAAAAGACCTCTGAGATCATCACGTCCAACTGTTCCTGCCTACCCCCTAAACCATATCCCTAAGTACCTCGTCTACCCGCTCTTTAAATACATCCAGGGATGGTGACTCCACCACCTCCCTGGGCAGCCTGTTCCAGCCTCTGACAACCCTCTCAGTAAAGAACTTCCTCCTTATCTCTAACCTGAACCTCCCTTGGCACAGCTTGGTGCCGTTTCCCCTTGTTCTGTCCCCCATCACCTGGGAGAAAAGACCAGCACTCACCTCTCTACAACCTCCCTTTAGGTAGTTGTAGGTGGTGATGAGGTCTCCCCTCAGCCTTCTCTTCTCCAGGCTAAACAACCCCAGTTCCCTCAGCCGCTCCTCATAAGGCTTGTTCTCCAGACCCCTCACCATCCTTGTGGCTCTTCTCTGAACACACTCTAGAATCTCAACATCCTTCTTATAGTGAGGGGCCCAGAACTGAACACAGTACTCGTCTGTTATTCTAGTACACTGGGTGTTAAGTTAGGGTATGAATTTGTCTGAAGTTGTGAAACTGATTAATTACTTCTTTATAACTTTTTCTAGCCTCTTGATGTAGCCCTTGTTTTGAGTGGTGGATGCTATGGACTGTCAAGAAAATACATGCATTGGCAGGAGGAATTGATAATAGGTGGTACAGTCAAGAACAGTTCTGGTAAACTTGTAAGGTAAATGAATGCTTAAAGAAAATTTCAAAGTTTTTCTTTGTTAGAGTTTGGGTTTTGGGGCACAGGGGGAAGATCATGCAAAATCTACTGCCCTTCAGGAGTATTATCAATCCCAGTGTAAGAGGACATACCTCGAGAATAGAATTGTAAACAGTGATTAAACAGTTGTTTAAATTTAAGAAGGTGTCATCGCTACGTGCTTCTAACCTCAGAATGATACTGTATGTCACTCAGAAATAAACCTTTTCCTGGCAGCTTTGTTTTGTAGAATGAATGTATAAGACATTTAACAGTATTTAAAGCACTGAACATCTTTGATCATATTTTGAAATACAATCAGAGGAAGAAGGGGAAATACAATAATTTGATAGTGTGCTCACTCATTTGACATCTGTCAGAAATCCAAATTCTCCACTGAACTTTTTGTTCAGATTCAATATAGAGAAAAGTCTATTTTTATGTCCCTACAACTGGAACATAGTTTTGAATGATAAAACAAACCCCTTTGTCTGAGAATTCTTGAAGAAGTCATGGAACACTGGACTTCAGTGGGGAAAAACCTGTGAAATAGAATTGTGAAAAACGTAGGCCATACTAAACTAAATGAAGTGTAATTGTTCCACACTTAATACGGAGAACTTTTACGAGACCTTTTAGTATTAATTTTGACTTTTTTTTTACATTTACACTAAACGTTGATAAATCTTTCAACAAGTAGCCAAATAATATATTTTTACTGAAAAATAAAATAGTTCCTTAAGCTTCTAAAATTGTTGGATACAGTTGTGTACTGTGGAAGTTCAGGATGGATAGTTATTGCCATTATGTACTCCTTGCAACTTACCAGGCAACAGGAGTTTAATGTGGTATTTCTCTTCAAGTGATGAAAAAGACCAAGGTCTTCAAATTACAAGTTGCCAACAGCATTTACAAGATCTTGTAAAAATATCTGTTCCTGTGGCATCCTCACAGTAATCTATCAATCACAATCTTTATAAATGATTTGTAGGGTTATGTTCTTTGCTCTTGAAATGGATCCTATTGAAAATAAATGTAAAACTCTCATTAACTTCAGTGAAACTAGATTTAGCTTGATTACTGCATAGACCGGTACAGCTGCACCAGATACACAGTAGAATAATTATACTCTGTTCAATTCTGATATGAACATGTGCCCTATAAAATCAAGAACCCCATTAGGGTCTCATTTGAGACTTGATACCATAAAAATAATTTTCTGAAAATGCTCATTTTATGTCTCTTTCTCTTTTCCCTTCTCTCCATGTCACAGTGCCCAGGCTTTGCAAACAATGTTTCAGTTAATGACTCCTAAGCAAATGTATGAGCACTTCAAGGGGTATGAATATGTTTCACATATCAACTGGAATGAGGATAAGGCAGCAGCAATTCTGGAAGCCTGGCAGAGGATGTATGTTGAGGTAAAGTTGAAAATAACCTAGATATCATACTACAAAGCCCTAGAAAGATCCACTGATTTCTGTGATGGCTTCTTACAAGGAAGGAATCCTTCTTACAAGGGTTTCTTCAAGGAAGATGCTCAAACCAGAACTGAGTGATTGTGTTTCAGTTTTTAAGCTGATGTATTATTTT